ATGGGAACGGGAGATTTAGATCAGTATTTTGGCATAACATAGTAATCTTGATGGGCCCTAATCCGCTCCGTAACTTTTTTATGGCAACTCCATACGAAAAAAGAACGTCGGTGGTGGACAAGAGAGTTGCCCAGGGGTACACGACTCATGCGGAGATCGACTACATTCTCATCAACCGAACGCGATGCTTACTTTACGTCTCAGTGGTACCATCCTTCAGCATAGGTTCAGGTCACCGTCCTCGGAGCAAAAGTACAGATACAGCCGAAAGCTGGAAAAGAAGATTAGCACCGTGTTGGAGGAAGGAGAGAAGTCATATATGACGGCGTCAGATTGGAGAAGCTTCTGACCACTTGTGACTGGCCCATCGAGGAGGACCCTACGACCTGCTTCTTAGAGGACTGAGAGCCTGTGATAAAAGTGCCTCAATGCCTCGCACAAGGAACTTGGAACGAATTTCGAAAGCCCTTAAGAATTTGCTAGAGAGGAGATGAGCACTGAGGCTGCTGATCCGACTGCATCACATCTCGAGCGACTGGTAGCCAATACCAGTTGCAGAATAGCTTTGCAAGAAGATGTGCGAAAGTAGAGACGATTGAAACTTTCAAAAGCAGCACAAGGAAGGAGAAGTCTTAAAAGGTATTTTGCTGACAACATTGAAAACCGAACTTGAACATTTATTTGACAGAAGATGGTTTCGATCACATAGAATCTACACCAAGCTCTTTTGCTCATTAACACCCGTATCAAATACCATTATCCTCACTGAAGAACTATTACTACGGGTACTACCTGCTGTCGTGCCGCAATTCAAAACATGAAGGCCTTCGCGGTTTCGAAATCAGGGGTAGAATGTATCAATCTTCCTGTCAAGATCGGGCCCACTTTTACTATAGAAAATCCTCCCTATCTAAGATAGGGAACTGATTTTCTATTGTAAAAGCGCACTTGATTTCGACAGGGAGATTGATACATTCCATCCCAGACTACGTTTCAGCCGACTTCTTACGAACTGGAGTATTTACCTACACGAAATACTTGCAGCACACTACGTCTTATCTTCAAAAAAAAGATTCAATCAGTGGAGAACCTAAAGAACAATTTTCCTTCATATGAAGGCGAATAGGGAGCATCTTCGGACTACCGTCCAATAAGCGTGCAGAGCGTGCATTACAAGTTCTAAGAAGATTATACTCACTTGCCCAACCTAACAACAAGCTGAATTGCTCATAGGATTCAGCTGCGTGGATTACATTCAGACGGTTTCGAGGATTATCGAGTTGCCGAGAGTACCACCTACCTCTCGTCCTATGGTCGGTTATGAGAAAACATTTAGCGTCGAGACGAATGTCATGCTGTCAGCGCTCGTCGACCAAGGGGTAAACCCCGCTTACGTGAGAACAATGGCCGACTACTAAACTGCTTCACAACGGTACAGCTCTCCCATCGCCCTCTCCATACCAATTTCGGGGGCGACACCATATCGTTTTGCAGCGGGTGGTGAAATTGCTGGAAACGAAAGAGGCACAATGGGAGATTCCTCTCGAACCTTCGACTTGCGGACGACATTGTTTTCTCCTACAGTAATATCGCTGAAGTTGGAGACGGTGTTGAAGGGACTGAACGAAGTAGGGAAACGATTAGGACTGCGATTCAACTGGAAGAAGACTGAGTGATAAGAACGCTTTTAACAAGAATCAGGAAAAGGAATTAGAAGGATGTGCAAGCACGGACGTTCTTGCATATCTTGGGCATTCGATAAACATAGAGAGCGACCGGAAGAAGAACTAAACAAGAACGAAGAGGCCGCTTTCGTGCCCTCAGAGGAAGCCACAGACCACCTGACGGACCTAGAGCCCCGAGCCCACCTTTCGATTCGACCGTTCTCTCAGTGCTCTGTTACGAGCAGAGACGTGGACTGAGACTGTCTACCCCACAGAGTGCTGGCAACGTCTGAAGTGCGACCTACGCACTCAAAATCTCATCGGACTTCGCAGTTCAGGTATGAGATCAATGTCCCGTACGCGATCCAGGGGAATACGTCTCTAAATAAAAACATCGGTGGGCTGGTCGTATAATGAGAGTGACAGGCGACGGATGGACACTAAAAGGAATGGATCCCTTGCGAAGCAAAACGTCTTTCAGGCCACCGACCAGATGACGGACGTGTTCGATGCTTGAATGAACCCAGCTGGGTGAAATTCCAGCTAGTAACTATAATGGATCTGGACCTCGTCGCCGCCACAGCTCCACCAACGTGGATGACGCTAGCGAGAGAGAGAAACAGGTGCAAACAAGACGAG